TCCAGCTTGAGTGAATAGGTAGGCCAAGAAATCGTTCATGTAAGTGGGATGTTTCCCTCCGGCTCAGCTGCAATGCAAACACATGGCATGGAATCAAAACTTTTGCGAGGAACAAAACTGCCAATTTCATGGCCTATTTCTAGATCGAACAAGAGATTATTGCGAGCCAAGAGTCAATGGCGTGGTGATGGAAGTGATCGATTGCAGCAGTGCTTGAGATGACATACGGCACAACAACCGATGAGTGGCTGGTGCAACTAGGCCCAGCGCCTAGAGACGATGGGAATTGGTCGATGGTGGTTGTCACACGGCCTGCACGGGACCTGACTCTCTGCAACCACACTACCTAATGTAGTCTCTGCCAAGGGGAGGCAAGAAAACCTAGAGCTTTTATCCTAAGCGATAAAAAGACTCAGGTAAGTGTATAGTATATCTTAGTAGAGCTTTAGACCAGTTTATTCTGGCACCCTAAATTCAACATCAGAGGTTTTATCCCCCCCGAGGTCTGCTCAGCAGCGGGCCAGGGGGATGTGCAACAAGGGTTCGCACGTTTTTCTTTTCCTCTTGCCTCTGCTACAGCAATGTTTCCGACTGCACCTGAGATCTGAAATGTATTACTCCTCTCGGTGTATGGGCAACGTCTGATCGACCGCTAGCCACATGTAAGAGGTTTACCAACACTCTTACCGGGCCGGGTTTGAGCTGGCAACCTAAAATCCTCATCTTGTTTCTCTTCTCCACCGGCATAACGAGAATGGATACATATCGGGGAATTCGAAAAAGAAAAGTTGGCTGTTTGACGGTGTAGACTAAGACTGAATGCATAACCATCACCTGTGATGTGATGAACCACCTAGATGTGATGTCTTTCTTTTCCTCACATAGATGAGAGCTAAATTGGTGTATCCTACCCTCATGAAACTAGCTCTCATGTTAGATCGAACCACTGCATTCAGCAGCGTCGTCAGATGCCTCAAAGTAATCGAAAGGTTCTATGCGAACTGTGATGAAAGATTTGGGGTTCTGCCAGGGTTTGCTTAGACAACGGGGTCACTTTATGCACCTGCTGCAGCGACTGTCACAGGTGCTGGTCACTCTCAGGCGCATCTTCTCATTGGCCACTGCACCAGGGTCTTGCCTGAATGACCCACCCCTCGGCGCCTACTCCAATTCTCCCCTCTCTCCCATGATGGGAAATCTTCAGTCGAACTTACATAGCGGACAATGCCAACAAGTCATACCCTGGTCAACCGCCGTGGCTGATGGGATGGGATGGGTTTATGCGTCCAAGCTGCTGGTGTCGAATGACGTGCGTTCCATCCTCTCGATCAATCCTAATCTGGGTTTAAGCGCCCTGCTGTGGGCAGTTTAGAGTGATGGACCCTGCAGCATAGGCCCAAAGGAATGGAACATACAGCAGACTAACATAACTTACTGTTACTAGACTCGATCGTAACGTTTTTGTTCTATTCAGGCTTCGGTCCCGAAGGCACGGGATCGAAATGAGCGTTGCAAGTGGTACTGGCCTACCTGTCCAGCCCAAGCTGCCAAGATGCGAGGACCAGTGGATCTACGGTGAGTGAAAACGAGAGTCGTTGTACTGTACTCTCGTTAGCAAAGAGCCGAGATCCAACCTGGGCGGCCACCAGGGAGAGACTCTCAAGCGATCTTGGCAAACGGAGTTTAGGAAGAAACCGGCACCAACCTACAGGAACAACTTTCATGACTTGAACAAAACGACAGATGATGATGTTTGCTCTCGTGTTTTTTTACAACATCTTCATCTTGGAGAATTCCAAGCCTATCCCTTGCTTCCATTGCCGCCAGCCCTCGACGCTAATGCGCCCACTCAACACGCATCTGGCTGTGTGCGATATAGTACCGAGTATCCATAGCGTACCACCAGTCCGGGCTCTTCATCCAGTCTCTCAAGCCTGACTGTGTTGGGAGTTTTTCTCCTGACGTTCTGACCCCGTCTGGCCTCCTTACCAGGCCAACAACTATATAGATGTACTCCCTTTCTGCGGGAGGCCTTACGACGACTGCGGCAGTGCATGTTGCATTGAACCTTTCGGCATATGGTGATCCGGAGCCCCATGGAGCCAAGCCAGGGGTGCCAGTTGGTTACAGCCCGAGACCCGGGGACGTAGCAGAAAGTTTCTAGACGTCATGACGTTCAGGCACGAGATATCTGAGACAATCTCACACCGGAAACTATTTGGTGAGCTTAAAATCGATAGTATACCTTAGACACTTTCACGTATATTGAGATATCTACTTGATATAAAAAGCTAATAAAGTTAGATATCTGTTGACATCGCTTAACAAGCGAGCCAGAGTCATTGGTCAATCTTGATAAGAGAGCCAGCATTACTCCAACATGCCTTGTTATCATGAAAATGGTTCAAGTTGAATATCGTATTCCACTGACCTGTTTATCTGTCTGTCTCACAGTACGAGCGGATTCAACGGCAATAGTCAATCATGTACCCATCAGGGCTAGTTAGTACTGTATCTGAGTTCCAGATTCAACTTTGAACAGTTTCTTGCTCCTTCATCTCGCCCTGTTTCTCATCGTACATCAGATCTTGAGTTTATCTACTATCCTGATGCGAAGGTTTGAGCTAACCCTCAGCCTTGTATTTCCTCCCGTCTCTCTCATACACACGAACAGGTATCGTCCCTGTCCTTTCGTCTCATCCTTCACTCACCTGAATATTCTTTTCTCTTTGTAGGCATCGAAACAGTCGATCTACTCCGAAGCTCACCTTGGCAGCACTAGCCTATCGTGACTGACGTCAAGGGAGAGATACCAATGGAACATGTTACAGCTGTCACTTACACCATTGTCTCGCATAATTATGTGGCTGATCTCCGGGGTTTCATCTTCATCCCAGCAAGGTCTTACTGCCAATGCATTGAAGCCCTGGATCTCAGATTCTACTTGCCGTCTATGCCTTAGTCTCAAACTTCCATCAGCTGTTTACTAGCATTTATCACGAGGATATGTAACCGCAGGATATAGTTCCGAACTTCTTCAAAGAGAACGATTACGAGAATCAGTTTTTCCGTGAGGCACAGCTAAATACGAGAGATATTGCCTCTTTGGAATGATATCGAACCATGATCATGGAAAAGACCCATGTTCGATCTTGTCCCCAGGTCAGATATCGCACCACATCTCGCCGCAGCATCGTCGATGCGTTACAGATCTTCCACTTGTCACCCTTCAACCCAACTCGGTTTGCATGGGCTTTGTTTCAAATTTGCGGAGAAACAGTTGAAGGGACGACAAGCCTCCAACAAAAGGGTGTGCATCATGCCATAAATCAGAAATAATACTCTTCTTGGCACTGTTCAACATTGATGTTCAGGCCTGTTTGCCGACTTGGATTTGGTAAATGCCTCGTTATCATAGCATTCCCTTCTGAACCTCGTCCTTTCGTTCCTCCCAAAGCGTCTTGCCTGTGCATGAGCACACCGTCTTATCGTTATCCCACATGCCAGCGCTTCGTGCGATAATGCCGACGACGGTGTCCTTATCGTTCTTCAGTGGTTCGTCCTTCTCTTCCTGCCTTGTCAGGACCATGGCGTGTCCAATAACCTCCCAGATTTGGAAACCATGGTCTATGAAGGCAGCGCCCCGTCCATCCTTACCGACCTCAATAGTACCAAGGTCACCCCGAGGCTTCTTGTCTTCTCCTGTCCAGACAGGACCCGTTGAGGTCGCACCGTTCTTCAAGTCACCGTATGCGCGAATTGAAGCTTTGTAAGTTCCGGGCGAAACGCCGCGGATAGTCAAGTCAACCAGTGTCCGTCCTGAACTCACTTGTACCATTCTTGCTAGCCCCCTTACATCTCTGCTAGGCTCTTCGTAGAAGCCATCCACAGGATCTTCAAATGTTTCGAGAATACTCACAGCGGCACCTGTCAGATTTCGAGGTCAGTGATCCATCGTACCAAGTTGTAGAGCCAAGATCTGAGGAGCCGGCATTCCAATGGCAGTCTGATTGTATCACAGGAGGGTGAGCAACTGCTCTGCACATACTGTTTGAGGCCCCCGTTCCACGCAATATGGCATCTCTTCCGGTGGCTTGGATAGCCTCTACGATAGCTGATGGGGGAGCTGGAAGTTCGGCACCGTTAGCTTGTACGCGGCTCGGTGAGTTAGCTCGCCTTACCGGTGCCCTTGACAGAAATCAACTGGTCCTTCAAGTTGCCTTCCACATTACTGATACCGCCGAGCTTGTACAGAGAGTCTGAAACCGCCTTGACACAACCGTCACATGACAGCGGAACAGCAAAGAGGGTCTGTTTTCGAGACGTTTCATTAGTTCATGAATACTGGGAAAAGATCTCAACAACTCTCCTCGTCCCCTTTTCTCAGCCATGACTCATAGCTCAGAATTTTGTGCGCACCTCAAACGAGTTATCAGCCGTCATCTTGTTAGATGCTGCGTTGATCCGTTAGTTTCATACTTCCAGTGTAAGAGAATCGCATAGAAGTTGGAGAACTAACAAGTGGGGGGCGTGGTGTTAGAGCTGATACGTGAGATTCGATATTGATATGCTGAATAACCAGCTATTGTAAAGAGAGAAGCAGTTGTAAGTACTCTTGCAGGTGTAAACTTGAGAGGCATTTGCTTAGAAAACAAGGTTGTAGCACGACGTGGGCGGGTTTTGTTCGCTGCTTTGAAATCCACAATCGAGTGATAACATCGGGGTCCGGCCGTTGTCGCACACTTCCGCACCCCGGAAGCGGGTCAGGCAGTGGCTTCGGGATTTAAGCTATTAGCACGTGACTGTTCGGCTCGCTGAGTCAGCAATTAATCCTTGGCATCTGGATCCAAACTTTCTGGTTGAGCGTTTCGGTGTTGGTAGATCTCGTGATACAGCAAACCCAAGATACACGACGATTTGACGCCTCCTATTCCAGTTTTGCGGCTGATCAAACCAATTGGAGGTACCTTGTGAGAGATTGGTCTCTCAAAGCCTCCAACATGTCGCAAGTCGTCGGCCTGGTGAGCTGATAAGATGAACATCCTCAAGTCTTTCTCTTGTCTAACCAATATCAAATAGACAAAACTAGCCTACTCTCGAGTATGGCACGGTGTATCTGCCTCCGCCCCTCATGCCACACTCTCTACTCAGCCCGGAGTTACACCACCTTCACTCGGCCGTCTCGCATCTCGCATCGCCGTTCTTCTCATGGGCAAGCACAAGCCGATTTTCGACCCCTCAACCGACTGCGGTGACTACGTTGTCGTGACCAACTGCGCCGCTCTTCACACAACCGGCCGCAAGAAGTGGCAAAAGCCTTACTACCGACACACGACACGACCTGGTAGCCTCAAGACCGTCACAATGGACGCACTCATGGAGGCGCACGGAGGCAGTGAGGTTCTGCGCAAGGCTGTGCGTGGCATGTTGCCCAAGAACCGACTACGAGACAAGCGATTGGCAAGACTTAAGGCGTTTGAGGGCGACGCTCATCCGTACAAGGATAACTTGATACGTTTTGCTGGTATACCAGTGGGAGCTGAGGGTTGGGAGAAGGCCACTGAAAGAGTCCGAAATGGCGATAAGAAACGATTATAAGAAGTACGGTAGTGAATATGGGGCGAGGGAGCTGTGCGGTAGAAACTACGGAGTATGCGGATGGGCTGTGCGAGTCCTTGTACTATTTGTACCAATATCTTGGGCATATTATGACCTAGCACCAAGCAATTATCAACGTTTTTCATGATATGATGTGCCCGGTGTAAATTTCATCTGCTGTGCAAAAAAGCTGGGTTTGGTTTACGCTCTGCCAGTGATATTCACCTTGATTATGCCCCGACAGCTTACACATGGATACCAATCGTACAAAGGCATCAGTGAAGTAATACCACAGCATAGGTCGCAACACGTTACAATCAGAAAAAGCAGAAAGGTAGCAAAATTAAGGTAATTACTCGAATCGTATCTAGTGCTAGAATCTAAGTCCATCGCTTGGTATCAATCTTTATCCTGGGTTCATTATAACGTTCCATCTTGACATCTATCGCCGCAGAATACAACCACTCTCAACGCCCCTTATAGCTTTGATTGTAAGTTGTCACGAGACACCTCGCACTTGATAAGACCATTGGGTCCAGATTGGGGTGCGTAAACCTCGGCATCCTTGCCTGTGTTCTTAAGTCCCTTGTGCCAGCTCAGGTCTAGATAAGAGGTCAGTATCAATAGTGTACTTGGGGAAGCGTGTCTAGGCTTACCAATCTCGAAGTAATGCTTGTTAGGCAGTGCGTAAGTGACTGTCGCAATCTCAGGCACAAGCCCGAGGATCTGGGTAGACATCTTGTACATAGTGGCTTGCACACTAGCACTGTCGTCCTCGGCAAAGATCTTGAGAGTGGTGTTGCGTGCCGCCTCTCGAGCACTGTCGAATTTGGGAGCAAAGGCCTTGACAGCGTTCAGTGAGTCAAACTTCTTCCACTTCCACGTAGCATCAACATCGGTTGAGAAGATGCGATCCCAAGTCTCAGGAAGAGTTGTGTACTCATCGCGAACAAAGCCGTGGAAAGCAGAACCGGTGCTCTTGAGTACAGTCAAGCCAACCAGAGAGCTCTTGATCTGGATGCCCTCCTGTCGGCTCACGCGAACCTCCACATTTCGGGTCTCCTCGCCATCCTTGAAAAAGCTGTGGGGGTGAGGCTTGCCGTCAACCTCCAGACGCTGCCAGCGAACAGTCTTGACGTTGATATTGGCAACATGGATGTGGCTGTACTTCTCGATGAAGTGGCTACCGAGGATAGAGGCGTACAACTCGGGAGGGTTGACAGGGTTCTGCTTGGCGGTGATGTAGATGGTGTTCTTGATAGAGTCGGTGGCAACGACAACACTGTTATCGGCCTTGGTGTAGGAGGTCTCAATCTCTCCCTCGAGAAGACAGCAGACGGTCATCTCAGTGACGGTCTGGACACCAGTAGAGGCATCGCGATCAACCTTGCAGACGCGGACATTGTCCTTGCCATAGCGAGCAGCAGATACGTAAGGCATTGTGAGATGCTTGTTGTGTGATAAGTCTGAAGACGTGTATTGATACCTGATAAGACCAGATAAGAAGGTTTCAGGTTCAGTGTAGGTATTGCGACAAGAGATGAGCGATGGCAATGCTTCCAAGAGTCAAGATTAAGCACGGTATGATTTGAAAGGAGGAAAGGGGAGGAATAGGCTTTTAAATATAGATTAGCAAGTATGCATGTGCAGAATGGTTGGGATGTCAGCCCCCCTTCCCAGCGATAATGACGGCTCCGGCTAAGGTGATTAGAGACAAAGCAACCAAACAGCGCTACTCTAAGCGGCTCAACGGACGGAGACGGACGTTGGCGATCAGAAAACAAGCGCCTACGGCCGAACAATTCAATGTCCGATGTTGCAATTGTTAGCGAATTGAAGCTTTTCCATGGGGCGATGGGGGTCGGTGCCGGGCCCCGGAGGACGCCGATGCCCTCGATCCCGTATGTCGGGGCCCGCCTGGGGCCATCGGAGCTCTTATCTCGACTTGTCTATCTTATCTTAAAATGCGACTCAACATCGCATGATTCCTGCGATACGAAGACAATTTGAGTTCTGGTTGCAGAAAAGATGAGGTACAAGATCATGCGGGAAGAGTACCTATCAGATTCTAGTGTTTGTGATCGAGGCAATCCTCGTGTCTTCCGGCCTGCTGAGTTTTGGAGTTTTGGAGTGTTGCAAGCCGCCGGCATGCAGTCTGTAGGGTACCTATCTTTCACATTTTTGTTGATGGCCTCACGAAGCACCAATACATTCGGAGTATGGGGTTTTCAATTTGTGTGTACCGGCATGTGAATCTGGTCAAGAATGTAGATGGCGAAACCATTACTTCTCAAGCTTGAAATGCTTTGGTGAGGTGGAAACTGCTTGCTTATGAGAACGAAGGCATATAACGACAATCAGCTGCCTTGCGCCAAATAGGTTGATTGCAATATATCCTCTATTGCTATCAGCACTGACTCTCAAACTCAACTACTCGGCTGCTCAGCTACTCAGCTACTCAGCTACTCGGCAATTCAGCTCCTCAGCTTCATGGGATGCTCTCGTAACTCCATCGTAACCCCGGAATAAAACACTTTAAGCTCAGAGCATCTAACCTACAGCACGCTACTGTGCCAGACGGAGCTATTCCAAAACTTTCCAACGGTAGTGAAGCCGCCCGCAACTGTAGGCTGCAGCACAGGTTACAGAGCACAAGGTTGGACTTTAGTGCCCCGGGCAGGTCTGTAAATGGAATACATCACCATCTGGCTGGGTCTTGTCCGCCTCCACTTTAGGCCCTGGTTGCCCGCAAGCCAACAACCTCTGTTCTCGATCCTCCAATCACCTGTCCTCTCGTCTCTCGAAACCCTGCCAAACTGGTCCTTGAACCTCGCTCGTTTTGCTCTGATATTGGCCTAGGTATCTACGTAAGGTCAGGTTCTGTACGGCATCAATCTGGTTATTGCTTCTGTTGGTACACTGGTCCTTCAACCCCATATTGTGGCTACATCATTTGCTTCCTTTCTCACCCACCGTCGCCTTGGAACCCACGCAAGCTAAGGTACCTTCAACGTCTTCGGCGACAACTCCGCTCTCTTGAAACTCCAGCTTGACTCAGTTTCGCTGTCCAGATAGACTACAGCTTCACTGACAGCGCGATCGCCGAAAACGCGGTCCAAGTTATACATACGACACAACATCACGATCGCTCTAAGTATTAGATCTAGACAATCACTTTGTACCGCCATTCTGCGAACGAATATACGCCTATCAATCGAAGTCACTGCAACGCATACGAACCTTGACCGCGATCGCATCCTCCGTACTCTTCACCTCAGTCGCCCGTTGATCGACGAATGCTCTTCCACCACCTTTGGGCCCAGTCCCAATCGGTGGGCTGTTCGCCGCTGATATGCTGAGCTCCTCTGCAGCAGCTCAGAAGGGCATGACCCCTCCGAGCCAACCTTCACAACACAACCTTCCTCAACAGTTATCCGGTCGCACGAGCTTCGACCGAGGGGATTCGGGTCTACAACCCCCCAATGGCGCCAACGCCCGAAATCTCTCGGCTTCGGCCGTATCTTTTGCGCCAAGGGGAAGCAGTCTTAATGTTGCTCCCGGCAGCTTCAGTTCAGAGTTGCGTAGTCGGGCTGGAAGTAAGACTGAAGCGGGGTCAATATACCCAAGCAGCTTCATGGACAAGGTGGAAGAGGACGACGCAGACACGCTAGCTGAGCAAGCTCTGGCACATCTGAAAGAAAGACTCAACCGTGAGATGAAGATCAAGGAGGGGAGTGAAAACATGCTCGAGGCGCTGAACTCTAAGAAAGCGAAGCAGACCAAAGAGCAACGACAAAAGGTTGAGGCGGAGCTTAACGCCAGCAATTCGCGTATCAAGGATTTGCGCCAAAAGATTTCAGATGCTCAGCATACACGACAGATTCCACCTGCGACGCCAAAACGAAACCGTACCCAGAGCAACGTTATCGAATCCGGGAGACCAATTGGATTGCGTTCGCCACAGAGCGTGTCACGATCTGTCGTAGAATCTGACAACGAGGAACCAACAGAAAGCCCAACGTTTGCGCTTGCGGAACTGCTCCAGGCCTTAGAGGTTGAGGGCATGATGCCGGAGTACTACGTCTCACGGGGGAACCAGCTTGTCGATCTCTTCAAACGTTACCCGACTCTTAAGTACGACTTGGTCTGGTCAATCTTTGGGCTCCGTATGCAGGTAATGCTCCTAAGCGAGAGTCGCGAAGTCGTGGCTGCTGGCTATCGAATGACCAGATATGCTATTTCAGATGTGGCATCACTTAAGAAGATCCGAAGTCTGAACACGGATTATCTGGTGATACGGTATGTGCCTCGACTATGACCGCGCTCTTTTTACTGACATGATCAGATCACTCAACAACTACCGCAAAGCGGATGTTGAACGCGAGCAGGCCCTCAAGTTCGTCCGTGCATTTCTTGATGTCAAAGGCGGAGTGAAAGAGATTTCTCGAGCAGTGGTGCGCACGATAGTTGCAGTTGCAGAGCATGGAGAAGACCGACGAGCAAATGCTCAGCCGGCCGAGGGAGACCTGGACCGTTTAAGACCTATCTGCATCGAGACATTAGCAGAAATCATAGTGCAAGATCCAGCACTTTTGGTGGCATCTGGTGGCTTGGGACCATTGACCGAGGCCCTTTCAGAAGGCGTCTACAAATCCCCCGAGAGTTTGACCTCTGCATTTTTATATCTGCTCGACTCGCCTCGAAAACGGAAATACATACAGCCAGGATATGGCCTGGAGGTGCTATTTACTGTCTTTACCGACCACCTCCTGACAAACGAAAGTATCATGAAACAGAACTCCAAAGCCATTGCGACAGCTTTGAAGTCATGGCCAGGGCTCATGACTCTCTGCATGTATGATCTTCGAACAATTCGATCCTTGATCACGAGCATGCTATTGCCGAGTGATGTGGTTCGGGAGACTATTCTTGATCTTATATTCTCACTTCTACGGATCAAACCACCAGCGTGGGCAACCTCTTTTCTTGCTGGAAGGAGATTGACAACGTACGGCCGAGTTGCGAATCTGAAGTCAAACCAAAAGGACAAGAGCCACTTACAATTCACAGAAGAAGACAGCGGTGAGCAAAATTTCGTCGAGCACTATACAGCTCTGTTGCTGGCAGTGCTCATTCGAGCAGGCCTCCTACCAGTGCTACTGAAGATTGCTCAAGGGGACGAGAATCCAACTCTCCAACGAAAGACGACCCTTCTGATAAGCGAGGTGCTGAAACTTGCCAGTCGCCTCCTACCCCCATCCTGGAGCGCCGAGCTTCACCTCCTGCCGGAACTCTTCTCATCGGCTGCCAACATTGGCAACAATGATCACTGGGTCGCATCGGGCATCGTTTACCAGATCAGCAGTGTCAGTCGTACTTTATACAGAAGTGCGCCTACGGGTGCCTTGTCCGGGGCGTTGTCGTCAGGCCACAACTCGAATGACATATCCGCGATTGACGAGGCCCCCAAATCCCACCAATCTCTGGTTTTTGACGATGCTACTTTCCGGCAATTGTTGATTGATAGTAATGTCCTCAACAGCTCGAACTATGCTAAGTGGAACTGGGAGACTATTCTCAAGATCATTGACGGTCCTCTACAAAGCGGCAAGAGACTTGAAGAGGCCATCAAAGCCTCCAAGTTCATGAAGAGAATCATCAGCTTCTATCGCCCTTTCAAATACAGGTTTGCCAATGTCAAAAACACTCGTGCCACGCAGAAGTATGTCCGAGCTGGTTGTGCCCTGATGCACTCTCTACTTCAATCACCCGAGGGAATCAAATTCTTGGCAGACAGCAAGTTGCTCAGACAGATAGCTGAGTGTCTAGCACAATGCGATCCGGTAAGACTTGATATTATCACAGTTTCCTCAACTTGATCACTAACACCACTTCCTCCAGACTAGCGGCCTCACAGCCCAGTATCCAATGTTCTCAAGAGATCGAGTCACTGACACACTTTGCGCGGGCTACTTCTCAATGCTTGGTGTTCTAAGTGGCGATCCTAAAGGTCTTCAACTACTAGAACGTTGGAGGATGTTCAATATGATGTACCACATCGTGGACTTGAAGCAGAGGCCCGACCTCATCAAGTTACTTCTGTCTAGCTTCGATTATAGCGTCCAGGGCCATCCTCGAGTCTTGCTGTCCAAAGCTTTGACCGCCGGTACGAAGGAAATTCGAATTCATGCAACGAATGCCCTTCGCAAATACGCCATTCGGCCGGTACCATCAGCCAACGGACAGGGTGGCGTTAGTGACTCGAAATGGGCCATTCAGCTTCTGGTAACACAGCTTTACGATCCCGAGATTGAGGTTTGTGCTACAGCTGTGAAGATCTTGGAGAAAGCCTGTAATCGTAAGACCTACCTGGAGTATATTGTTGAATGCCGGCCAGCTCTGGATCATCTGGGAGAAATCGGAGCACCGCTGCTCTTACGGTTCTTATCAACATCCATCGGATACCATTATCTGGATGGACTGGATTACATCAGCAACGAAATGGACGACTGGTTCTTGGGACGGAACGATACATATGTCAGGGTCATAGAGGCAAGCTTGGCCAGAGCGTTCCTCGTTGATCCCGACGAGCACAATCCTCGCATGAGTTTGTTTGATGAAAGTGAGATGGATGGGGACTACCATGATAACCATGTACCACCGCACTTTTATCGGGAGTTGACCCGTACCCAGGAGGGATGTAGGCTGCTAAGTGATAAAGGTCACTTTGAGGATTTTGCAGCTACGATTCGTGAGCATGGCATGGATAAGGGAGATGCGGAAATACTTACGAAGGTCAAGGGTTGCCTTTGGGCTGTTGGCAACGTTGGGTCCATGGAACTCGGAGCACCATTCTTGGAATCTAACGACGTGGTAGAGCATATCATTCGAATTGCCGAGACGCATGAGGTAATGAGTCTAAGGGGCACTGCATTCTTCGTTCTTGGTCTGATTTCTCGCTCTACGCATGGTCTGGAGATCCTATCTGAGCATGGATGGGATGCCAACACAACACCAATGGGTACCTCGCTTGGATTCTGCATTCCCAATGACCTATCAAGGTTGCTATCACTGACAGCGTGGAAACAAAAGACGGTAACGTCGATCACCCTGCCGTCAAGTCAACGGACAGCCCAGGAGGCACCGCCACCTCGCGCCGCTCGACCACCTCTTGAGCCAGCAGAAATACCTGCTATGTTGAGCGAGGCGGATGTTAACAGAAGAGTCCTGGAGCTCATCGTGGACCTAGGAAATATGGTCCTCTACAAGAAGGCGCTTACTGACCTCCAGAAGCTGCGGGCACACAAACCAAGCGCCTTCAAAAGTACACAGTTCTTCAAGGAAGTGATGAGCGCAATGGAATGGAACCACTACCGGTTAGGGGTGAGAAGGATGGTTATAGATTTGTTTGACAAGAACGTGATGCGGCAAATAGTGTTCGACGAGGAGGAGGATGACGAAGATGACGACAGTAGCGACGATAACAGCCAAGAGGAAAGCGAAGAAGAAAGCGGCGAGGGCGAAAATAGCTCCGGGGATGACAGGACAGAGAGGCAACGGAGCATCAGCGAGCCGCCGGCACCGCCACCAGATCTTACGCCAGCTCCTCTCAGGTTGAGGAGGTGAGATATGGGCAATGATATTTCGAAGATATAAAATGACTACATAGCCAAAAGCAACATGACGTTGGAAAACTTCAACTACACGATACCAATGACAAGAATCATGATGGCACGTCAAGGGGTGGCAGGCGGGTCTTGAGCTGTATATATCTTTGTGAGGAGTAGCTGCTGTAAAGCGCATTGGTGTCTGGTCTGGTCTGGGTTTTGGATCATGGAGTTTTGGGCAAAACATCGAAGAAGGGATGCTTCTGGTTTTATCCGAGAGGGCTTCTTGGAACGAGACCAAGTGAGGTTAAGGATATTGTAGTAAGATATCAAAGGATTGCTCGGTTGATTCGACTACGAGTAGCATCATCATATACCCAAATTACAAATCAGTCTACGCCAAGGATTCATGGTATCGAGGAACCGGTTAAGTAAATATGCCGAATTTACCTTTAGCCGGTGAATTTTGGGGTTTAGGGAGCAGATAAGTAAGTAAGTAAGTAAGTAACATCATGACCTGATAATGTAAGGTATGTATGTATCTCATGTACGTACGACTTGTAATTATGATGACGGCGAATTACTCGGCCCCACCAGAGCCATTAACATCGCCTGCCAATACCAACCAACGCCGCTTCCATGAGTAACCGAACGCGGGATTAAGAGCGAGCTCAGTCCCGATCGAGGCCCAAGTTGCTCCTTCACGACACCTATAGCATACATCTTTTCCTGGTAGATTCATTGTATTGGTCATTCTTTAACCCTTCCTAAAGAAAATCTTCACCATGGTACAAGGGCGAGTGCTTGTCATCGCGGGGTCGGACAGTTCGGGCGGAGCGTAAGTATAGTCTTCCTTATATTCAGAGTGGCATGATGGAGCTTTTTGAAGGCGTTTTCATGATTTTTCTTCTTCTCAATATTCAATGGTAATACATGCTGACAGAAAATCATTTAGTGGACTTGAAGCGGATCAGAAAGTCATTGCTGCTCATGGCTGCTACGCTATGACGGCCACTACGGCGCTGACTGCGCAGAACACTCAAGGCGTCAAGGGCATTCATGTCATTCCCACCGATTTTGTGTCTCAGCAGATCGATGCTTGTGTTGAAGATGTCGGTGTCGATGTTGTCAAGACTGGTGAGTTGGTCAGCGATTTCGCTGTGTTGCACAATGACTAACACCTCGATAGGCATGCTTGCTTCTACAGAGACAATAGAGATGGTTGCAAATACCATGGTTAAGCATAGCATCCCTTCGCTTATCGTGGATCCAGTATGTTCCCACTTATATATCTCTGTCTGAGTCTTTCTAACAATGAGCTTCTAGGTCATGGTTTCGACTTCTGGTGCAACACTCCTCCCCAATGAAGCCATCCAACACCTCTGCAAACACCTTCTGCCGCACACTACGGTCCTCACACCAAACATTCCTGAAGCTATTCTTATCCTTTCCCAAAATGGTCAAGAAGCCCCCGAGGTTCGCAGTGTGCAAGACCTTGAGACTGTAGCTCAACGAATCCAAGCCTTGGGTCCTAAGTGGGTGCTCGTCAAGGGCGGACACCGACCCATGAAGCAGGACTTGACTGTAGCCGAGACTGAGGAAGAGAGGAGTGTTGTTGTGGACGTTCTTGTTGGTGGTGATGGTGAGGTTGTGAGAGTCAAAAGCCCGTACCAGGCGAGCTCAAGCACCCATGGCACGGGATGCTCTTTGGCGTGTAAGTGACAAACTTGCTGAATACAACTGGTCTGATACTAAGTGATTTCTCAGCGGCCATCGCATCAAACTTGGCCAAGGGTCTTGATACACCAACGGCTGTCCGATCAGCGTGCCGATACATTGAAGCTGCCATTCGAACAGCACCTGGTCTTGGTAAAGGGCATGGTCCCCTTAACCACTTCCACTCGACCTATACTCTCCCATTTACTCCGTAAGTTCACAAAGCTTTATCCTCTTTGTTGTACTAACTCGATGAACAGCGGCTACTTCATCGAGTGGCTTCTCGAGCGCCCCGATGTCCGCGACGTCTGGAAGGAGTTTGTTTACCATCCCTTCGTCATGGCTATGGGTGACGGAACTCTGCCTCTCGAGTCCTTCAAGGGCTATATTATTCAGGATTACTTATACTTGGTTCGTCTTCAAATCATGTAATGATCCCAAGCTAATCATTATTTGCAGATTCACTTTTCACGTGCCAACGCCCTGGCTGCCTATAAGGCGCAAAATATTGAAGATATTTCTCGAGTATGTTCACTTGACCCCATACTAGACGCAATCTCGTGACCTCTCTATAGGCAACAGAAATTGTTCAGCATATCATGCATGAACTAAAGCTCCATACCTCATACTGTGAGAGCTTCGGCGTCTCCATCGAGCAAATTCGTGCCACACCCGAGAAACAGGGCAAGTTCAAGCAGGTTCATGTACAGTGATCTTTTTCTGACTTTCTTTGTAGCCTGCACCGCATACACTCGTTATGTCCTTGATGTTGGTCAGAACGGCGATTGGCTTGGTCTTCAAATGGCTCTTGCTCCATGCCTTCTTGGTTATGGTGCCGCAGCTAAGATGCTTCATGACCATGATAAGACCGTCCGCGAGGGAAACACATACTGGGCGTGGATCAAGAACTACAATGAAGAGGATTACACTGATGCTGTCAAGTTGGGCTCTGGTGAGTCTCCCTCAGTTTCGCCGAGTATCTGTCTATTAACCAAGATGCAGCCTTGCTTGAAAAGCATATTCAACTGCAGTCACCTTCGCGAATTGAAGAGCTGGTTCAGATCTTTATCCACGCCCTCAAGGTATATTAGCATCCTCTTTAGTGATGACCGTTGACTAACACGATTTAGATGGAAATTGGCTTTTGGGAGATGTTCCCTGCCCAGCAGACCTGAGTCAATACACAGACACAAAAAACAGGAGAAGCAGACTAGATCAATCAATTAATAGACATAGAATTGAGTATACACTTGGTTCCGTATGTTTCCTTGTTTATGTCACAAAATCCAACATAGGTATCTGACGCCTGGTCCAGCCATACTCCTTTCAAAGGTGCCTCTATATATCATGCATGTTTCTCGAAACTCTCTTAGACCATCTCCACTGGGCGTGGTCTCTCATCATCTTGCAACATATATCTGAAGTCCTGCTCAGGAGGGGGGGCCAGAGGAGGAACTGGGGGAGCGTCACTATCAAGGCTGTTCTCTTGTTGTCGTTGAGCTCGTCGCAATTGCCCATTCTGCTGCTTTACCCATGAGTTCACTGAGCGGAAGCGTGGCCGTGTATCGACTGAAGCTACTGTAGATACAGTGTCACGGCGACCAACAGAATTGGTAGACTTCCATGTGGGTTGTCGCGAAGGCTCTGGTCGCGATGGGACACTTTGGACAGTCTGAGTGGTAGGCGTCACGACGATATCGCCGTCACCGAAGCCAGAGGAGATGGAGGAGAGCTCGCTAACACCTGTCTGACGTCGTCCGACATCGTAGGCATATGGTGTGGTAGAGGGGATTCGCTTGTGTTGCTGAGGTTTGTAAGGCGTGCTCAAGGAGTCCTTGGGATCGTGACGAGCCACGACCTGGACCTCAACAGCGCTCTCGACGAAGGTTGTGCTTGTAGGGCTTACAGCGTCAATGTCATAGTTTGTAACCCCTGTCCTTCTGTCGCCAGTCGTACGATAAACGCCGAATGGTAGGCTAGGCACTGTAAGGAAGTTGTCGGATTGCTTAGACATGAAGAGTGGTGACTGAGGCCGTGTCTTTTCAGCGAGAGGCGGAGAGTAAGATGGAGGAGAGTAGGATGGATCTTCAATTGTGTACCAGCCCTTGTGGCCGTAGCGTGGTCCGAGGAAAGGCACCTTGGAAACGAGGTTCTCGAAGCGGCTGGGCTTGTCGAAGTTCATGTCATCAATGGGAGCAGGCTTCTTTGGGGTCTGCTTCCTTGAGTAGAATTTCCAGATGAGGAACCCAATTCCAAGTAGGAATAGAAAGCCGCCTTGAAATCGTGTTAGCAGTCTATAATGTTATAGGTGAGGTGGACAGGGAGAGCATACCGACGGATCCAACGCCTAGCAGGATCTTGTGAACATTGGAGTGAATGCCACCATCACCACCTTCTACCTTTAGAAGAGTTAGCAAGACCGAATTTACATTGCATTGCATTTGACATGTCTCAACCCGAAACGACTTGTACATGATGAGCGAGCGGGTCAAGGATCTGACTTACCAAAGGGGAATCCGACATACTTCCCTCCGCTGATGGAGCGTCGACTGATGGCGAGTTTGTTGACGATGCAGGCAATTTGATGTTGAGGTTGCCGTCGTTGCTGGTTTGGTCTTCTTTACTCTTCTTGGGCTCTTCGTCTTCATCTTCGCTCTCGCTCTCACTTCCACTGTCAGCTGCGTCGTCACCTTCACTCTCACTGTCGCTACTCTCTTCCTTCTTCGCGTCCTGCTTCTGCTTCTCAGTCGCAGGATCGACAGTATCGGTTCGCTTGGCATAAGGCTCCCTTAGGATGTTGATCATAACCTCAGGCTCCCTGGATGAGGTTGGAACATTGCTTCGTCTGATCCTCGGCCTTGTTGGTCGCTTCTTCATAATGTGAACATCATAGTCGTCGCTGTCATCGGCGATGGTCCAATCCGGCAGAGTCGCACCAAAAGCCCTCTTTGCTTGTCTCTGCCACCGAAGGTGATGGGGCTCATCAAAAGGCGCCATTGTCGCAGTAGGGATTCTGAGTTGTGTTGATTATAAACAAAAAGTATTAATGAACCAAGGGTCTTTATAACATGATATGTCTTGGTACGTCTTGATATGATTTGGATACCCAAGGCGTTGGATGAATAGTCTGGGTATCAGGAAATGAGTGTTTTGATGATGCAAGTCACTGACTTGATCAGATAAAAGAAGGCGTTATTCAAACGAAGGTCCAGCCTTGATCAAGAGCAAAGGAAGAGAAGGACAAAGGAAAGAATATAAGGGCTTGGCGGTTTATGACATGCAAAAAGCGAGAAATGGAGTTTC